GTCGTCCAATTCGGTGACGACATGTCTGTGGGATTTGCGTTTTTTGCCTTCAACCCTCGAAAACAATCAGCAGTTCAAAGAACACGTGACTTCGAACGTGGAGGTCATCAAAATCAACAAATCGACAATGGAGATGTCCAAGCGTTTTTTACTTTGCGCATACCACAAATGTACATACCTTTTAGGCAATATTGTCGTAAATCTATCTTTGTTAAACCTCGTTTTTTGTTTTACGTCAGGTTTGACGGGATACATTCTAATTAAAGGAGTTTACTCCAAGTAAGTATAAAATTCGCATTTGCCACAACTGATTGTGAATTGTGTTAATGGGGTTTTAGGCTGCTACTCTTTATGTCAAATTCAAATAAAAATTCCAATTGTCCTGGAATCTCGTCTAGTAGGATATGCACGTTAATTTATCAATAGGGTGTTTTCTCTCGAAGTACCAACTGTCTGACTGAAAACTGATTTCATAAAATCTACAAATTCGTCACCGTTCAGGTCGCAGTGAATCATGCTGGTTCACGACCATTGACCTCGTCAAGAAAGTCTTTCTGCTCATGCTCCCCTGTGCGTGCATGTCACCCACGCCAGCTGTTTCATTGATCCGGCCGTTCAATCATTTGTACTTTTACAGATTCACCCAGATTGCATTGATCAACAACCTTCAACTGCGCAGTGGCGCCACCGTCACCACCAGGTTGGGGAGTCTGGTACACGGTGGCGTCCCTAGTCCTCTGACCTTCAACAAACTCAACAAACTACTTCGGAGGCCTGACTGACTGGACTGACAGACAGCCACCTCGCGTGAGTGATGCGTGCATGACGGTCCGAGTGGACCAATGACTCACCCCTTGTGTTATTGGCCTCAGTCAGCATTCGACTGTTATGCACGCGTACTCATACGCACACAAAGCCACTTGGCTGGTTTGACACTAATAAACGGTCGTGTCCCCTGTCGCCGCTTTCCCCCCTTTTCTCGGGTAGTTACGGGTCGTTAACTAGCGGGTTGTAAGGTAGTGCTAAGCCTCTTGCCCCTACACCTTCAACAATGTGACCACTCCACAGCCTCTAAATTGGTGGTTTTTAATTCTTAATCATCATTCCAACCATATACCTCCTGTTGTGCTTGCCTTTGAATTCTTCATTTTACTTACTTCTAATTAATTGCTGCTCCTTCTGTCCTTTAAAAATGGAGGAGGACAAATTTTATTTCAGTGGACTTTACCAAAATGACTAATTGCAGTCTGATTGACCTTGTCGATCAAGTCGGAGTCACCAAAGGTCAAAACCCGAGTGTGAGTTCGAGTCCTACATTGGGACAATTGATTTATTGAGAGCAATCGATTTATTCGCTAAGTGGATCGATGCCTATTGGCTAATGTAACCAATAGGGATCGAGTGGCAGGTAAAGTTGGTGGACAAATTACTCAGCTGTGTACGGCACGATCGACAAAAACAGGGTAAATCAAGACAATTTACTACATGCTTGTACCGATTAGGGTGGAATTAGGCTGACCTGATGCGGGTACTTGGGCACAAGTGGGGGTAGAACTCTCAGTGGGAGGTAAGTGCGCTAAACGACTTTTCCTGCTGATTTAACAACAGATTCTATTGGTCAACCCAAAGCATATGACTTTCGTGTCCGAACCTGCTTTCGTGAATTTAACTAGACCACTTTGAAGCCCTTTTTGGTTACTAAATATTGAATTATATGGTTATGGAGGCTTACTGAAGGCTTTTAGTATAGGTCAATAACCACACATCGACCGCTGCGTTGAAATCGGCCCGGGAAGACAAGTAGGAGGCCAGAAATGAGAGAGATACGACCATTTACTAGACAATTCAAGCTATTTGTGTCGTTTTCGTGTTCATGTATTCAAAGGTAGTGGACGGTTTGTTGGAGTGTGCGACAACCGAGTTGGCGGTCATGATCTGAAACAAATCACCACAGGCTTGTTCCACCAACTTTCATGGACCAGTCAACAAATCGGCGATCGTTTAATTAATGCTACAAAACTTCGTCCAGCCATACGAGCGAAGACAGTGTGTGGACGCGCTGGTTGTAGCTTGATTACACCGGGTATGACATGTGATGAATTACAGATGGTGGCGTCACCTTCACCTATGGATGTTATGTGGAAGGCCCGAATTTCCCAAGACCTCAAATTCAAACATTTCTTCACTCTAATTTTCATATTTACCGCGTTCATCCTATTGGCTCACCTCACTTTGAATGTTATTTCATCTTTACTGTGATAGAGGTAGCCCAAGACATGCATAATCGAATCTTTCTACGAGGTCATGTCTTTGTCTCAGCATTTGAAAGGTGGATCTGGCAATACCGATGTCGTAAGTGGGTCTGACTAAACGCTGAACATAACGAATGGTGCGACAGGGTGGAAAACGACTAAATATTCGATCGTCTGGTAGAGGCACCCATATATAACCGTCCAAATATGGTCACTGGAACGTGCTTGAAAGTCCCAGTTTCTGCTTTGGAAGTTTGTGCCAACAGAATCGACGAAATCACGCGTTCAAAGACGTTAAGCCATTCAGGCTTTTGAGCTACGTCGGGGCCGACGCGTTATACTGGCCAGATTAGTCCACGCAGACACACGGGAAGACTAAGAAGACCGGAGATGGCGGCGACGCAACTGTTTATTTGATGGCTCAACCTACTTGAGTTCCAATGATCACTACAGTACAGCTCGAAAATATATAGTGGTTTCCCTACACTACCTTCTAACACCGCTTGTAAACAGCCTTTAACAGGCGACAGCGGATACGACCGCTTGCGTAGAGTGAATATCGATTGTCAATTGTAATCAATGGTCAGCGACATCCAATCAACTCGTGAATAAATTTCACTCACGCTCATTTGCTGGCAGTTCTCTACAGATTCTTTTCTGTTCAAAACAAGTAAGGAATGCGTACTGACCCTTACTAGCGTCAACTTCACCATCTGAGTGACGAGACAGACCTCGTGCCTCCGTCAGTATGTCCCTTAGATTGCACTTTATGCATTGGGTGGTTAGCCAATAGGCGATAGGCGGTCAATATGAATACACAAGGCAGTGTGCATGATCCATGCAAGCGGAAGTCACGTAAATCCCTCATTTGCGCTAAAAGTACACCCATGGGGAAATCCTACTTCAGTCCTTGATGGTATTCCATGACTGGGTGTTTGTAGTTGTGGAAATAACTGAAAGCAAGAATTGACCCATCCGAAATTGAAGTTGTGGTTGTAAGACAACTTCTTTAATCAATAAGCCCAGAAGAGAAATTTCATCTCTTCATACCTGTCTACCAATTCGAAGTCGACACCAAGCTGTTATAACTGAATTAGTTGAATTTTCATGCCACGGTACATAACAACAGAAACTGCCTCTAAAACCGACAATAGATCCAACCTCAGCAGCGCAATTTTGCGACTTTTGGAGGTGAAGCTATCACGAGGAGGTCGACGCAGAGCATTCAGTCGGTCGTGGTGTTAGCCCGGAGAAAACGGAGACAAACGCGATTATTTTGTCGTGTAATGAGGCCCAAGTGACTGCGTTTTACGAAATTACATCCATAGTAGATGGTGGGCAAATGAAAAAAGTGCTAGTCCACACAACGGGCATACCATTTCAATGACACAAATGTATTTGTGCAAAAGCCTTATGGTACTGCTCAAATTGTAGTAATGAATGATGCTGATATTCATTTAGTAATTATTGACCGTAACAAGTAACAATTTGGATTGGCATGAGACGCATAAGTGCACGGTAACTTGACCAGAGAGAACACAGGTCACCCTTGAGGGGTTTTTGTGGATGGATCCAGTTTTTATTTAGGCCGTACCACTAAAGCAACAATTCCTTTAGACAAGCTGGAATTGAAAAGATTCACAGCGATAAAGCTTTGACCTGCTGCCGAATTCACATTGATTCCTGAGAATACTCTTTACAGTTTCTACTTTTGTATACAAAAGTCCTGGAGCAGATGTAGTGAAGGAAACAGTAATAAGTATTTTCAGTGGTAACAATTTACTTGCGTTAATAGAAAAGATTGAACTTTGTGCCCCCAACACACCGTCCTTCTCCCCACCTTCCCCTCATTTGTTTACAGACGTCTTTATCACCAACAAATCTACCGCGTCGTCCAATCTCCCAGCCTTGACGGATCGGTGGGGTCCTTTGTCGCCTAGCAACCGACCAACCACAATCTCTTCGAGCTCTGTCCAGTGTCTGGTCTCGCACAAACTCCCTTTCCCTTCTGCGTTTTGCCAAAGGTAACCTTCGTACCTCTCCCGAGCTTGAACTTCCATTACCGTCTACAACGTGAGTTCCCTTTTCCGATTTTCCGGTGTAAGGACGCGTTCTGGCACACCCGTGTTCAGGCCACTCCTCTTCCTCCTTCAACTTACAATCGCTGCGGCTGCAAACGGTTCCTGCTGACGATGGGGATAGCTCGGAGTCCTGAGAGTCGACCACCCTTTTCGTGGAGCGGATCTTCGAGGCGTAGGAGGTGGCCGGGTGTTCGGACGATTCAAAGCACCTTTGATTCAACTTTGCGGCACTGTTGCATGAATAGTTTCGTCCAACTGGGGCCCTGTAGCGGCTATGTCCTGCATCACAGTAGCCACGGAAGTATCGTTTTGCACCTCCGTAGGTGAATCGTCTCTGCGCTGGTCGAATCAACGGGGAGTTGTGACTTGTGGGTCTGCGTAAACTCAACTCAGCTTCCGTTAGGGGCTTTGAGGAGGTCCTGGGAAGGTACCTCTTCGACGAAAGTGGAGTTGGTGGTGTCTGTGGACCCTTTAATGGCCGACAACCAAACTCGAAGTCGGCTGAATTGCAATTAAACTCCTGATTCCGTCTAAAAGCCTGCCTCCTTTGACGGTGTTGAGCTGATAAGAGGAGCAGCAAGTTCCTTAAAATTAATTTCTTTTCCACGGCGGCTCTTCCTTGGTTGGCGTTGTGACTGCAGTTTTCGGAAAAGTCTGCATTAACCTCACACATCCGCATCCTATTAAAAGATGGCTTATTCTTTTTTGGAACATCCTAATAAATGCAAAATTAAAGCCCACTTACGGTTTGAACTGAATCGAGATAAGGCAAATTTGAAAAAAAAATCACAGAATAACGAAACAGTCTTAAATTTACGCAAAAGGTCGTGATTAGAATAACTCACTCACCTGAGACATAATGCTTGAGTCAGATAGCTGGCGGATGATCGACCGGCGGAATATCGATTTTACGCATGACGAAGAAAATGGCTTTCAAAAATTGACCTCAAATGACCAGGAGAACAGCTGTTTGAGTCGACCGATTGCTCGAACTAATGAAGGTATTTTGGTATTCCGATCGATTTGCATGGTTTGGCTGTCCTTCCACTGGCCCTCAATACTTCCCTCCAACCTAATGCTTACGTTTGCATCTTTGTAATACATGTGACACAACCCTCGTTTGGTGAATTTTGCGTTCCGAAAACGCCAAATTTCTGTCACTTCCATTTGAACAGAATTAATAATCGCCATCTCAAAAACTTATTATCGAATTGATTTCATTCAATTCCCTTTGTGGCTAACCAAACATATGTCTGATTAGATTTTGAGGGCGACTGACGTGGGCACGAGCAACCAAGAATTGCAAGAACTGCCCAGAAAAGTCAGCATGGGACAGCCAAGTTGTCATTTCACATATTGAAGCCTTTTCTAATATTACCGCCTACTCAATTCGGTCAGTAGAAAACTCCTAAAATTATAGGCTCTTATTTGCGCTCATCTTAAAAATAGAATGGAAGAAACTATGGCTACCAACTGACCTGACAGTTGGACATGGTTCTCTCTTTCAGCATGGCATTTCTGTGCACGTACTGCATCCGCAGTAAGTTTCACATACTTCATTGCCATGAAGTAAGTTAGCCAATAAGGTGGTGATCATCCACAACGAGTGATTGATGAGGCCCTTTGTGGTGCAATATATCCACATCATGTCTTCGAGACAGGGCCCATCTTACGAATTCCCGGTGCGACAAATAATTAACATTCTTATGCGCATGCACATTTTCAAGATCCCGCTGGGATTCTAGGACAGGGAAGAGAAAGCAGGATAAAGGAACGCAAGGCTCCCATTCACCAAGAAATACTCACACGGGATTGGACATTCAGTCAGCACCTCTCCACGATGCCCAAATAGGCCATTCAAATGAGGCTCCACAGCAACAATGACTTGGCCAGGCGTAAGCGAAAGGGTTTTCGCCACTTCAAGTGCCACAAACAAACCACTTGCTATTAGACTGAATGCAATTTTACGAAACAACTTCATCCAGTTGCACAAGTTCTCTGGGAACCTTGTTATCAGCTGAAACCTGCTTACGTCACCTTCGACCACTTCTAAATCTGTCCCACCCAGATGTTTGGAGGAATTCACTGATGGGTTGAAACTTTGTGGCCAAGACTTGGCGGTTCCGGCAGTCAATGTACGACCATCGACACAGCCATACCTGTATTCCAGTCTAATCAATTATAAGTCCTCTGTCCCTGGATGCACATTAGCTCGCCTTGTTTGAGTGATAACACTGCTCGAGAACGTTGGATACCAAAACAACATTCATGTCTTAAAAAACGACGCTACACCTACTACCACCGATCCAATAAAGGAAGCCGAAAAGTAGGCAAAATATTTATCAAATAATTTTACAAGTACTACTAAATGCGATGTCGTCTCAGGCCGGTTGCTTGTATTTGGGAGTGATCTTGGAAATTTTTGGCAAACCTATTATGTCGCTATCATAGTAGACGTTATACACGTGCGGTCCTCGTTCCTTGTACGTGTGCTTCCCATTGGCGTCGATCGATATTGGAAGGAGCCCTATAGAAAACAAATATAACTAACTAGTTATATGTAAAAAAAACAGCCAATAAAAAACGAGTTTTTCATGCAGACAGAACAGGACGCGGCAACTTCTACAGCGACCCACCAAAATTCCGTGTTCAAAACCGTTCGGGTTTGTTTTCCTTCTTATCAACCTCCAAATCGATTGTTTTAAAAAAACTAAGGTTTACGATTATAACACAAGGCCATAAAATAGTGTTTCGATGAAATATTTTCATCAATTGAAAAATCACAATGCGGGATTTTGTGCAAATAGTCCAAGAACAGAGATTAGTCCATTAGAACACAAGAAGGTGGATGGTGTGGGAAATAATTATGGAACAAAATACGAGTCCAAACGGACATACCTCCAACCTAGAACGAAGCCAAATCAACTACCAAGACAGTGTCAACATTTCGGAAATTAAGACAACCGTGATATCCATGATATTCACCTGCGTTCTGGGCCCTTTCAATGAGCATCTCAAGATGACGCTGGGAACTCATTGTCAATCCAGAAATCTCTCGAGGAAGGATTGTTCCGTCAGGTCGAAGAAATTGACTTAAAATGAGAACGTCGGTATGTCGCAATTTTAGGCCTAATCGTATGAGTGGATCACCGACGCGCGAGTCACCAATGCCAGTCATATCGAGGAGATGAGCTGTGCGTTCAGATTCACACGGAATCCCTTCGTACTAAAAGAATAAATTTGGGAAAAAACAAGCCTACCGTCGTAACATTGCCAGATTCTGTTCTTTTAACTAAAACAGAAGGAAAATTTAAAATTGGACGTCAAGAAAAGAGCTAAAAATCAACACAAGTCCATACTCTCTTTTTTCAGTAAACGGGATGATGTGAAAAATGTCCTTCTGGAGACTGATTGAAATAAACGAGTTAGCAGACATATTACACCTAAAAGTGAAAATGAAGCATTTAAGTTAAGCGAATCTCTAGTCAGAAATCTTATGTTCTGTAGCTACAAGAAAACGTAGCATTTTACTTCATTTGTGATTACGTGGAAACATAAACTAAGACACTGGGAGGATGGAATCTGAGGAGCAGTCTAACATCTGCAGAAAAAAATTTCCAGCCATTGCTACCACCAATTCGGCCATTTAGTGTACTAGATTGAGAACGATGCACAAATGAACAGAGATGTATCCAGGACTCAAGAAAAATGGTATTAACTTTAGCAAAACTGTGGGCGTAGATCTGCGAAAAATTTGCAGTTTGAACAGCTCTTAATAGCACCAAAAAGTCAAAAAACCATAGAAGAACCAGAGCTTTACATAAGTTAGGCAAAAATAGCTATCGCTAGTAAAACACCTGAGCCAAAATACGCCGCCATGTGGAATTCGGAAAAACACGGGCTGGAGCCAATAGCGACGCAGTTCTAACATTTTAACCAATAATCACGTACAAATTGTCCAGTAGATGAGGTTAACTACGAAATGTTTTCTAAACATCCTTGAAAGTATCATTAATATACTAAGTAAAATAAAGATGGCGTGGAGTTATTCTTAGCAAAGAAAAAACTCATTTAGAATAATTCCCACCCATTACATTCATGGAGGCAACTATTTCCGCTATGATCATTTAAAATGGACCTTGATACCAAGGGGTTTTGAAAAATTTGATTTTAATTTATCACGTTTCACGACATTAGAAAGATTCTGCATGTTATGCGAAATAACAAATTACTACGGTAAAACTACTGCCTCCCTTTCGGTGATGTAAATTTTTTAGCATTACTATAATGTTTTGTTATTTACGTTTTTCTGTTCTTCTTCCAAACTAGGTAGATGCTAGTTTAATTGCGTATCGTAACTTAATGTTTTATTTAACCACGCACGAGGAAGATGCTTTGAATTTCCGCTATACAAATATTGATGCACATATTTGAGGGTAACACGAAAAATGCAAAATAGAAAAATAAACCGAAGGAAAATCGGGAAAATTTTACAAAAAGTCACTTGTAATTTCATTTAATCGCATTTAAACGCCTTCCGGTTAGTAAATTTGTACACCATTATCCTGCTCAATCTTCATGTAAATGACATCATTTTTCAATACAGTTGAATGCTTTGGAATGCGGTGTCGCAAATACACATGTAGTATTTTTAAGATGATGAATCCCCCTAAATCAAATGAAAAGTGCAAAACATTATTACCTTCGGCTTGATCTAGGTGATACTCTAACACAACCTGTTCATTTACAAAATGTCAAGCTAAAACTAGCAAAAATTTGACCGGTTTGGTCTTTTTCGGGACCGATGAGAAGGTATTTGGAAAATGCAGGCAGTATTAAAGTATAATTTGATCAATAGTGGAGTCTAGGTATTGTATTCGCAAAAACACTAAAACCATGAGACAATCTTCCCGTATTTTAATTTAATTTGGCATATATTTTCTTCTAAGTTAATATTTTTTGCTGAGTGTTTGCTTGGATGTATGTTGGTGCACATCTAACGGAAGTGTGGGCCATTACTGCAATTGTCATTTATAAATTAGCATACCGGGCTCCAAACTAGAAGTGAAATCAAATATCTAAGAGCGAATTATTATTTTATCACAATTTGCCACCATTGCCCATTTCTAAATAAATAAACCTAGTAAAAAACAACAGACACATTCAAAAGACAGTTAAAATTACAGATCTCTACATGAGGGTACGTCATAGACATATGATTGCAAATGCAGGTAGCGACGAAAAATCGACGATGGTTACAGTATTTAATGGTTCTTCAAGATCAAACCATCTATGGTAACAATTTCATTATTTTATCTGTCAAGTGAACAAAGATGCCGCTTTCATATCATCAACAGGAAACTAAATACCCATTTGCTATCACGTGGCAAAAAATCTCCGTGACAAATCTTTTCCCTTTTCAAATTTTAATCATAGCTGATCGGCCAAGTGATTTCAACTTGCGAATCCAGTTGAAGGATAACATCAGAAGGATGGTTCTAAAGCACTTGTTTCCGGTTGCACCTTTGAAATACATCATGAGCTTTAAGAAAGGCGAATAGCGACGGAACGTTCTTAAGGAAAAGAAATGCTGAGTTCGAACAATCTACACGATCAGTGTGTACGCTTTCGTCTGCGGTCGTTGGAGGATTATTTGGGAATTCGAGTTAAGAACACTAAGTACTATCGAACACCTTCGAAACGCAGACCCTTGTCTTTACTTCTGTGGTTTCCGGTTAATCAAGTTAGTTAGCAAAGTTGAAGCTATTAGTGGTAAGGAAAACCGCTGAAAACCAATTTGATTAGGCGTAATCCCTAATAATTCACATAAACCTTGTAGGTTTCTCTGACTCACTTGCACCAAAATCAAGTTGATGCATCGTTTGTATTCAAACTTGGCTTATTTTAAGCCTAAGTAAACAAGAAATAACGGTTTATCATGTACCTGCACGATTGTTATCTTTGCACACCACATAAAGTGTAATACCTGTGTGGAGCATTTCACAGGTATTACTTTAAAGATCAGCAGCCAACCGCAGGCACGGACGGATGAAAGGCAGAGTATAATAAGCGGGGCGGCCATAATAGTGGTCACAGATGGACTGACAGTTTTGGCTTGTGGTCGTTGATAAAGTCTGCTGTGTTCTGTCATTTTTGTTTACTACCACACAAACTAAATATTTGCGTCGCCTTTTTGCAAACCACCGATTCTATACCTTAGACACCAGGTATGCACATCTTTGTATCGAATTAGGCAATTATGCATGACATCTCACTTAAACTTTACCCCCAGTTCACAAAGAATTTCTGTACGTGGACTTCATACTACTACCACCAGGCGTAAGTTTATCAATGGAATGGAGCAGCACGTTGATAAATATGTTATATTTTGCCCAAAATTTTGTCTTTACAAGTTGCTCAGTGTTTTGAGGTGCAATTTGTTTTTAAACTCACCGAAATTTTAGGCCTCTATTCGGATGGTTTGATGACAGAGACGACGATCATCTGCCTGCGAAAAAATTTTGCTGTGCTCGGTATAATTTTTTCCAAATGCGTTGTGCCAATCTCCTACCTTTGATGTGACGTCGAACTTGACAGATGGGGGCTACAGTAATTAACGTCACTTTTTCAAGCCATCTGGCCAGGAGGCATAGAAACAGTAAGTGATTTTATGTCGATGTTTGAATTGTCTGCCACGTTTATTATAATGGCAATCATTCAGTTAAATTATTCAAACATTTTCTTCAGTCTACGGCTATCGGGGTAACGAAGAATAAAGATTTTAGCAAAACGTTGTGAGGGTATTTCAAATATGCTCAGAAGTGTTTTAATTTACTACTGAATCGCGAAATCAGGGTAGCCCTGGCCACTGAAGTCTTTCCACGGCTGAAGTCCAGGAGCAAGTCCTTATCTCTCGAACCAGTGTTGACTACCTGGAAGTGTCTGCAAGATACCTGTCTGCATATCGGGCTTGCTGTCATGCAAGCTAGCTGGATGGTTGCCATAGAGCCTCAATTATAACACTTCCTCGGTGACCGGGTCTTACACAGCCCTGTGCTGAGAAATTGTTCACTGTCGGACCCAACAAAGGCTACTTAATTGCGCATTTTATCACCAAGGCGCAGTTTTTTGGTCTGAGCTGTTCGAAAAGAATTCGTGAAAGCAGTATCCATTCAAATGGTGTCAAGGTCAGGTAAGGCATACATGAAGGAATTTTCTGAAGCTTGAAAATTCTACAAAACCACATGAGCTCCCTATGTTGCGCCGAATTCACCTCAATTCATTAGTGTGAATTTCACTTTCCCCCCCTAAAACTTCCAAAACCATGAAATCCAGATCACTAACACTGATCTTCGAAATTGTATACTTGGTGATAGTCTTCTGCGATTGCCACTCAAATATGCCCAGAGTGAGTGGTTATTTAGTTCACCTTTTAAACCCCGTGATGAAATTCACTAGCAAGTCAAACGTTTTAGGGCAGCGCAGCTATCTCTTTCTGACACAAATCATGGTTTCCAAATCTTTGTCTAACTGCCCTTGCAGGCGACCCATTCACGCCCTTGTCGATTTATTTTTCCAATTTTTAAGTCGCCTTCTCGGTCAAACCAACCTTCCCCTATATCGGCCACGCATCCTACTTTGAATGCGCTAATTGTTTTCACCAGCTGTCAAGGTCATTGAAAGCCTTTTGGCCTAAGCAGTAGGAACTCTCCTAACTAGGCTTTGTCCTCGTTTGTGCACTACTGTGGAGTGCTCATATTCATTCCCAGGCCGTGGTCGAGTTATCAATCAAGCATAACAACCCCCTCTTATCCACTCAAACGTCAAGGTATACGTGGGTTCGCGTTGGTGACTAATTAAATGCGACAATCAGCTCCAAAAACACCCCTCCTCCAAGATTCAGATGGCAGGATCTAATTTTATCTTATTTATTAAAGGGAGAACTGAAAGGACGCTTTTTCTTGAGAAGTTTTCCTTGAAAAGTTGATTTAGTCTGTTTTGACTTTACTTGGATATTCTTTTGCAAACTTCATCGAGGTCTAATTTTAGCAATTAACCACGCTACACACCCACATGAATCGACGATAGCCCGGAATTCTCTCTTGATTAATCATTTCATTTTTCTATGGTGACAGGCCTATGGCAGCACTGTATAGCACGTCCGCCTTGGCTTTAACGCCACCCCACATCACACATCAATATGCTTTTCCAACAAAATCCGTACAACTCTTAGTTACAAGGGGTGTTTGCCACACTTGTTGCGGAAACGACTAGAATCCACCGATTCTTGTCAATGTGTGCAAAAGCAAACACACACATCCTTCGAGCCTTTTCTTCAAAGTGATTTACTCCCACTGAGTAAACCTTAGAGGTCGTAAACGCACCAGATGTCATTTTCTCCTGTGCTAAAAGAAGCGCAATCAGATGGTAGGTTGCATCTCCAGTCGAAAACAATGCAACGGCGTAAGTAGGTGTATCAGATTTCACTAGCCACACTGCTTGTCAAACATCTCAATTGGCTGGGGCTCTTAACCCCAGTAAGTTAACGTCACGGTGATTATTACAGCTGCCACAGTCTTGGAAGTAACTCCGGCGCAGTGGAGAAAAGGGATAGGGATTTGTCGTTCGTGCTACGGCTTCATAAAATCTGGACTTACGAGGATCTCTCGATAGTCCCTATGTATTTGCAAAAGTCACACTAATTTTTTCTCCTGTTAACACGGTCGCTTTGTCGTTCAGCCCAATTACCAGCTGATTCTAATTCACGCTCCATTTTTGATCGTTTGATGGCGTCATTAAACTCGTGAAAACTGACGTGTAATTTTTTTCCAACTACTTGTCTGGAGCACGGAAGGGTGTTGGCGTAGAATGTGGCTCTCTTAAAATAAATGGCGACACGAATACGACAACGCACAGATTCGCAAGCATACG